TCCCCTCGTGGCCGGCACACGCGCAGGCTGGCACACGGGCATCGCCGCCGGCTACACCATCCGCGCTCCCCAGAGCCGCCGCCGCCGCCCCCTGCCGCCGCCCGCCCCTACGCACGTGCTTGGTCTCGGGCAGGAAGCCAGGCTTGTCCCCCGCGTCGTACCGGGCTTGCTGCTGGCGCCGCCGCTCCAGGAGTTCGCTCACGCTGCAGGGCCGGGCAGAACAGGGCAGGGCAGGATGGGGCGGGGAGGGGGAGGGATTGGGTGGGCCAGGGAAGGCAGGGGAGGGGAGTGGGAAGCAGGAAGGAGGGACAGGGACGTTCAGGAGGCTGTGGACGGCGGGACAGTGGGATGGGGCCAGGAAAGCGGGCCCAAGTCGAGTGCACGAAGCAGGAGCCGGCAGGCGCCCTGGCACGCGAGGCGGGGGAGGGAGGAGGCGGGCGGTGGCGTGCGGCGCGCTCACCGAGGGCCGTACTTGCGGGCGAGGCCGGCCAGGAACGTGAGGGCGTCCCTGCAGGCGCAGGCAGCGGGAGAGGTGCAGGGTGCGGGGCAGGGTGAGCGGGAGCAGCGGCGTGTGCGGCACAGGACTGCCCCACCAAAGCGTGTGGCCACACTCACCGTGACAGAATTTCCTCATAGCCGGGCCTCATCTCCGCCAGGATGTCCATACCCTTGGGGATGCCCTGCGTGGGGGGAGGAGCGCAGGGGGCAAGAGTGAGTCAGCCGGCCCGCGATGTGTCACGGCGGCGGCGGCGGCGGCAGGGCGGCAGCGGCAGCTGCGGCGCAAGACTGGCGGGTGCCCTGCCCGCGGCCGGTCAACCCCAATGGCCAGAGGCACCCCGACAACATGCCGCAGGCCCGAGAGGGGCGCAGGGCAGCACCGAAACCGCATGGGTGACTTAGTCATGCGGTGACCACCAAGGCCCCCAGCCCCCCACCTCTGCAGGATGTGCGCCGCTGCTGTCGATGATCTGCCCAACCATGGCTTTGGGTGGACGGCGGGGTGCAGGGCAAGGCTTTGGTGCTGTCCGAGGGACAGGGGACGAGCGTCGCCTCGAGGTTGCGAGGAAAGGCCGGGGAACGGCAGGCGGAGCACAGACTCGGAAACAACACGCCTTCATTTGAGGGGAGGGCGATGAGGGAGAGGTCTTTGCATAATGCCGGCTGAGTGGGTACGCCGTGCAGAGCAGGGGATCTCGAGACTCGAGGAGCCACCGAATGCATTGCCGGGATGCCTTGTGGTTGCTGCATAGGGCAGGGGGCCTCTCCTTGCTGGAGCCGGTGACCGATCTCGCGCCTCCTCGTTTTTTAGCCTGCCGCAGTTTCTGCAGGCCCCATGTGGCCGCTCGAGACGCCCCTGGTCATCCTGCTGCCGCTGGCCATCGCCCTGTCGCCATCCGCCCCAACGGCGGCGCCGTCGCCGAGCGGCGGCGGCGGCCCGGCGCTCGCGCGCCCCACCTGCGCCACCAGCGCCCACGGCGCCCACCCCTCTGCATCCCGCTACTCCACGGCGGCGCTGCAGGCCGCCATCGACGCCTGCTCCGCGAGCTGCGGCACGGTGGTGGTGGATGTGCCGGGCGCTTACCTCACCGCCTCCCTGCTCCTCTCCGGCTGCGTGCACCTGCACCTGCCGGCCGGCGTCACCCTGCTGGCAGGCACACGGCGGCGCGACTACGGCCCCACCCAGCCCGACTGGTACCTCCTGCGCTTTGCAAACTGCACGGGCTGCAGGCTGAGCGGCGGCGGCACGGTGGATGGCAGGGCCCGGCTGTGGGTGGAGCCTGCAGGGGGCGAGCGGCACCCACGGCATGAGGAGGAGCAGCAGCAGCAGCAAGTGCATCAAGTGGTGGGAGAACTAGGCATCGGGGCGGCCGGCAGCACCCGCCAGCTGGCGGCGGCGGCCCGGCAGGGGCAGCAGCGCTCGGCAGCGCGCCAGCAGCGGCGGCGCCAGGCGCAGCAGCAGGCGAGGGGCAGCGAGCGGGCCCGGGGCGGCCTGCCGCCGCCTGAGATGCCGCGCAAGGCGGTACGCAACTGGCGGGACCCTTCCTGCCCCCGGCCCGATGAGTGCAGGTGCGGGGCAGGTGCACAGCAGCAGGATGCCTCCAACAGGCATAGCCTCAGCCCCACACTGCATTGCCCCCCACCGGCTGCCAGGCCGCCTTGCGCCCCTGCCGCCACCCTTTCCTGCCGCTGCCTGCCGGCCCAAGCAGCCGCCTCCGGCTGCCGCCAGCGCTGCCTGCCTGCCTGGTGCAGGCCGCGCCTGGTGGGAGTGGTGGACTCTGCCGATGTCTCCATCACCGGCGTCACGCTGACAGGTACGCAGTGTGGCAGGTGGCGGGGTTGTGTGGTTGTGCTTGTAGGGGGCGGATCCGTGCGGGCAGTCTGTTGCGCACCGATGTACGGAAGGGTCAGCCCCTGCTGCCGCCCTGCCTCCTCCCCACACCGCCGCCTGCCACCTACCGACACCTACAGGTTGTTTAGGGTTTTTGCACCTGCACCCCTGCAGACCCCGTCTACTGGTGCCTGCACGTGCTGCGCAGCGGCGGCGTGCGCATTAGCGGCGTGCGCATCCGGGGCGACTGGGACATACCCAACAATGATGGTGGGGCGGGTGTGGCGTGTCGCGGCTTGCGGGGGGGCCGGGGAGCCGCTCCTGGGGAGTGTGTGGGCGTGTGACAGTGCGCTGTGGGCGCTTGAGCGCCTCCCACAAGCCTCCCTGGCCCCTGCCGGCTGCCGGCTGAGCAGGCGAACTGCTCCCGACCCGACCCGCCTGCCCTGCCCTTCCCTGCCTGTGGCTGCCACAGGCATCGACGTGGACGGCAGCCGCCACGTCAGCATCTCCCACGCTGACGTGGACACAGCCGACGACACCGTGTGCCTCAAGACCACGGCAGCCGGCTTCCCGCTGGAACATGTCTCGGTCACCGACTGCAGGTGCGGGCCGCTGCTGCTGGGCTCACCTGCTCTTGCGCCTGCCTGCCTGCCTGCCTGCCCGGATCCTGACTGCCTGCCTGACTGCCTGGCTGCTGCCCCTCCTGCCCTTGACCTGCCTGCCCCGCACCTGCTCCCCTGCCTGCCCCCCGCTCGCTCCCCGCCCGCAGGCTCCGCTCCCGCTCCTCGGCGATCAAGCTGGGCAGCGAGAGCCGGGCCGACATGCGGCACCTGCGCTTTGCCAGGCTGGCAATCGCCGACTCCCACCGAGGCCTGGCCATCCAGCTGAGGTCGGTGCGCGCCTGCGCCTGCACCACGCAACGCGCTACCTTGCACACATGCCCGCATGCTGCCACACCCCGCCTGCGGCCCACATGTCTGCCTCCTCCAAGCCGCCCTGCTGCGCCGCCGCCGCTCCGGCAGAGATGTGTGGGCCCCGCTGTTGCGCTGCTGGCTGGTCCCGGCTCTGCGCAGCAGCAGCCCCGCATCTCCCTGCTGCCGAGCGGCAGCGCTGCGCACCTCGCCTGTCCTTCCTCCTTCACCCCGCCGCTTCCTCTCGTCTGCTGTCTCTTGCGCGGCGCCCGCCTGCAGGGACGGCGGCAGCATCAGCGACGTGCGGTTTGAGGGCATCACCATCGCCACACGTTACTACCACCCCAGCTGGTGGGGTGCTGCAGAGCCCATCTATGTCACGGCGCTGCCGCGGGCGCCAGGCATGCAGGTGGGCAGCCACGTGGCTCAAGCCTGCCGCGCAGGCCCGGCAGCGGCGGTACCGGCGCCTGGGATGCCGTTGCACACAGCTGCTGCCGGGAGAGCAGAGCGCTGCGGGCCTGGCAGGCCTGGTGCTTGGCGCTGCCAGCAACCATGGGGCTCGCTGCAGCCGCTGGTGCAGCTGCCGCTGCCATTCTTGGCAGCAGGGGCGCGGCTGACGGAGCGTTTAGTCCGCTGCCGCCTCCTGCCTTGGCCGCTGTGGCTGCTGCGCCTGCAGGTGGGGTCGGTTGCTGATGTCACCTTCTCCAACATTTCCGCCACTGCTGAGAACGGGATCTTCCTGTCCGGCGGGCCCCTGGTTGCCGGCAGCGCGGGCGGCAGCGAGGCTGGGAGCAGCGGGAGGCCTGCCACGGCCAGCCAGCCGGGCGGGGCAGGCGCTGGGGCAGTGGGCAGAACCGCAGGCGGCGCAGAAATGCGGCGGCAGCAGCGGCAGCAGCAGCAGCAGCAGCAGCGCAGTCTGCGCGGCATCCGTATGGAGAGGGTGAGTGTGCGGCTCCGCCAGCGCAGCCGCTTTGCTGGGGGCTGCCAGGATTACCGCCCCAGCAGCAACGCCAGCTTGGGAGCGGGAGCAGCGGCCGGGGGTGCGCACCGCCGCGGCGGCTTGAGCCCAGGCTGGTGGTGGCCCGCTGGCCTGGACTGCAGCAGCGGCAGCACTGCGGCGGTGTGGGTTGCTGGAGCAGACGACGTGCGGCTGTCTGATGTGGAGGTGAGTTAACAAGGCTGTGGCTGTGAGGATTTGGCGTTTACTGTGCTGCCCCGCTGGTTGATACCCGCCTTAGCTTGCCGCTGGTACTTCTGCTTCCACCTGCCATCCTCTGGTGTTTTTTCAGTTTTTTTTTGGCTGCTGTTCCTGCTGCCGCTGTGGTGCAGGTAGAGTATGGGTGCCCCGCAAGGGACGACTGGCGGCGCCAGCTGCACATCGACGCCGCCAGCACCAGCGGCGTGACGCTGCGGAATGTGTCGCTGATTGGCGGCAGCTGCGGCACGTGAGCACGGCAGGGCGCGTGCGTCACATGGCGGCCCCTGGCTGGCGAGCCGGGGCTGGGATGCTATCTCATTTAGATGCCCAATTAGATGCCCACCCGCCCTTGTGCCGCTTCTGCGCCGTTGTACAGCTGCTCATGCTCTTTCTTGTGTCAACAAGGGCGATGCAGCATCAATGAGAAAATGGCACAAACTTGGGCAGAGGTGCATGCAGGCATGGGGGTTTGTTTCCCTGGCCGCAGCTGCCGGCAGCCTAACCCACGATGGAATTTGGCGGCACGTAGGCCCCCGGAGCGTCCCGCTGCGCCGTCCTGGCCTCCCCCGCCCGGTCTGCTGCCACTGCATTGGCCAGCCTGCCTGTCGGCACTGCCGGCCCAAGAACCACCGCCGCCGCCCAGGCGGGGAATGCGGCAATGGGGCGCCACAGCCCCGTGTACGTTGCCAGTTTGCCGGTGGCGGAGGCGGGGCGGAAGGTGGTGCGGCTGAGGTCAGGGCGCACGGTGTTGAAGGCGTTTTGGGCCACCAGCTGCACAGCAAGGTGGGCGGCCGGAAAGGAGGGAGTCGGTTGCCGCTGCTAGCCGCGACGACAACGGCTTGCAGGGCTGGCAGGCAGCAGCGAGACACCTCATTGCGTCCACCCCGGCGGCGGCGGCTCCCCACCTGGGTCGGGTTGCAGGTGGGGTTGGCGGCGGTGCACGCCTCGCCCACGCCCAGCGGCTTGTCGGCGCCGCCGTTCCACACCACGTTGCCCCGTATCACCAGGTTTTTGTCGGAGGTCAGGGATCCGCGGGGGTCGTCCACCTGGAGGTGCTGCCACTGCAAAAGGTCGGGCAGTGGTGGCAGCGGATGTGGCGGTGAGGTGGCGGCGGTAGCGAGGTGGGGTGGGGGTTGCGCCAGCCACGGCTGCCGTGGCCGCGCCCCATGCGCGGCCTGCTCGGCTGCCGGGTCTGGCGCGCTGCCCTGCCCCTTACCAGCCATCGCCCTGTTCACCCCTCACCTGCTGCCGGCCCGGCCTGCTGCCGGCGCCGGCGCTGTCGGCCGCTTGCTGCAGCAGGTTCCGCCAGGCCTCTGAGCTAGAAACAATGACAAAACAATGAAAAAATGTGCCCACCTGCGACTGCGTGCCGGGCGGGTTGTAGATCACGTTGTTGATGATGAACACGTTTCGGTTGGGGATGGAGGTGACGGGGCCAACCGTGCGCGGGCCCCACCCGCCCAGAGCCTTGTTGGCGGAGCACACGCGCGGGTTGCCTGCGGGCGGGGCGGGGCGGGCGTGCACGGCTGTGGGTGGCACCTGGCGGCGGGTTCATGAAATGTGTGGGCCACACAGGGCCTTGCTCCAAGCCCTGACGGTCCCTGGCAGCGCCGCGGTCCGAAGACAGCCGCCGCCGGCTTGGCTGGCCGCAATGGGGGCACAGTGCCAGCGCCTCGGCAGCATCACGCCTGCCGCCTCACCATCGCACGTCCGCTCCCCAAACTTGATGTCGATCAGGTGGCTGCGGTTGCCCACCCCCACCAGCGTGTTGTAAGCATACATGCAGTTGTAGCAGCCCCACACGCCGAAGCCGGCGCCCTCGATGTTGCGGATGAGGTTGTTGTACAGCTGCGGTACAAGAGGAGGAGCCAGCAGCGGTGAAGCGTGGTGCAGCAGGGCAGTGTTCAGCGCAGCGTCCCAGTCAGCACTGGCTGAGGGTCGGCAGGGGCAGGAGCGCATCAGGGAAGCTCACATGGTGCAGCTGCCAGCGGTACAATGCAGGCCTGCAGAATCATCATGCAGTGCCGTGCGGTACATCGTACCTTTATGTCGTACGCCTCGTACTGCAGCCAGGGCGCGTCCATGAACTCGAAGCCGGTGCCCTGGCCCGCCGCAAAGCCGGAGGAGCCGTGGGTGTGGATTTCGTTGGAAGCCACGATGAAATAAGCTGAAGGGGAGGACGGGAAGGGAGGGTGCAGGAGGGGGGAGGCAGCCAGGAGAGGTGAGAGGTTCGAGACGAGGTGGGTAGAGGGAAGGCAGGGAAGGGGAAAAGAGGAGATTATGCGGGAGTCCTGACCGCGTGAGCCGCCGCCGGCTGTTGGCAAAAGGAGGCAGAAGGCAGGGCGGCATGGCTGGGCGCACCTGAGCCACCCTTGAGGTACACCCCCCACTCGGAGTGGTGGAAGCGGGAGTTGAGGATGTGGCCGTACTGCAGCGAGGGGCGGTACAGGGAGGATAGGGGCGGTACAGGGAGGAGTGAGTGGGGCGGTAAGGTGCAGGGACAGCAGGTGCGCCTTCGGCGCAGCGCAGCGCTAACGGCATCGGCAGGCGGCTTGGTGCCACCTGTGGTGGGGGGTGAGCTGGCAGGTGTGCAGCACAGCGCAGCTCAGCACAGCGTACCACCAGGCAGGCCGCGAAAGCTCACCCACCTGGCAGGACACGCAGTCAAAGGCGTTGTCGTTTGCCCACCCCGCCACTGCGGCACGTGTGTGTTAGGGACGGCGGGAGGCGGAGGGTCGGGGAGGGGCTCAGTGGGCGTGCCCGGGGGCAGGCAGCAAGCGGGGTGCCCCCTGCCTGCCGTGCATGACTGGCAGCAGCACAGCGAGAGAGAGCCAGGCAGGCAGGCAGCGGCACTGCGGAGGGGCCCGGGCATGAGAGGCAGCGAGGCCCGCCACCAGCGGATGCAGCGGCGGCAGCGGGGGCGCACCCACGCCCTCGATCCACACCCCGCGGCACTGGTTGATCTTGATGGCCTCCTGGACCCCGCAGTCCAGCCACGACCCGCTGGCGCACACGCCCTCGGCTGCGGGGGACGCAAGGCAGGGAGCATGCGTGTGTGTGTGTGCGCGCGTGTGTGTGTGTGTGTGTGTGTGTGTGTGTGTGTGTGTGTGTGTGTGTGTGTGTCTCGGTGAGTGTGTTGGGAAAGGCACGCCGGCATGCTTCTGCTGAACTCTCAGCAGCGGCACTCGAGGTGGTGGGCGCGGGCAGCAGTGCCGTGACGGCAGGGCCAGCAGCGCAGCGGACACCGCTCCTGCCGGGGCAGCACGGTGCCAAATGTATGGATGGATGCCCTAAGACGTCCGCCGCACACACACACACAGAAGCAGACTGTACAGACACACAAGCCGCACCTGTGACGTTGCGCAGCAGCAGGTTGGTGCACCTCTCGCAGTGGAAGGGGTCTCCCGGGGCGCGGATGATGAGGCCGATGAGGTGGAGGTGCCTGCGGGGAGGCGGCAGCATGCTGAGCGGGAAAGCTCAGCGCGGGCGTGGCGCGCCGGCACAGCGTGGCGCCCCCAATGTGGTCCACATAGTGGGATGCCTCCCCATGTGGCACCCCATTGGCCCCAGCTAGCTCAGCACGCCGGCTGCTGACCGTCCCCAGTGGCGGAGAGAGGCAGCTAAGCCCACCTGACGTCGAAGACATTGACAGGGGCCTGCAGCACGACAGACCCCCTCCCCTCCACCGCCTCGATGATGATGGGGGCCTCCCGGCTGCCCCACCGGCTCTCCCAGTAGTGATAGACTGCAGGGCAGGGGGTGGGGGTGTGAGAGGGAGGGCCGGAGTGCGAGTGGAGGGAATGGCGGCAAGCGGGCAGGCAGTACAGGGCGGGCGGTGTGTGGGGAAGCGAGGGGTACGAGAGCGGGCAGGTGCGCAGCATGCGCAGCGCACACCCATGCACAAGCACACACACAAAAAAACAGGCGCAAGGCTCACTTGCTGAGGGCGGCAGCGTGCCGCGCAGGATGTGGATGTGGTAGCCGGCGGTCAGCGCGCGGCTGGCGGGGATGCGCAGCCAGGCGGCGGCCAGCGTGCGCAGCGCCTGGCTGCGGCTGCCGCCGCTGCGGCTGTCGCTGCCCTTCACGGGGTCCACCCACAGGTGCTTCATGCCAGCAGGGTTGCCTATGTCGTAGGGGCGGCCGGTGGGCTTCTGAACCGTGACGGCCGCGGCGGTGACCGTCGCGTCGCCGGCTGCTTGCGCCGCCGCCGTCCCCGCTGCAGCCGCGCCTGCCAGCGCCCGGCCGTGTCGCGCGTATCTCCATCCGCCGGTGTCTCGTGATGCGGCCGCTCTGCTGGCAAGGCACGCCAAGAGCAGCCAGGCGCAGCAGCAGTGGCACATGGGTGTGCCCGCCTTTGCACCCATACCGCTGGCGCCGTAAGTTCAAGAGGTCACGATGAGCAATATGCAATCCTGAACACTCGTGTGTTTGCACCTCACGCCTGCTGCGGCATGCCGGAGCTGGGGCGTCGACCGGAGGAAGGTTGAGGAAGGTGGTAGCTGCGGCGTAGTCTCCGGTGAAAGCATGTGTGGAATGGATGCCGGGTGAGGTTGGGGGCAGCTGGTCAAGCAGCGCCCTGATGCCCCAGCCGGCAGCACACCGCCTCCGCCTGCGCCGCCGCCGGAGCTTAAGCCGGCAACAGCAAATTGGATGCGGTGAATGCCTGAAAGCACCAGAACGCAATGCCCGAATGCAACACACAGACGCCACAGCATCCAGAGTCCTTCTTGCGAAAGGCTGCCCACAACAACGCAGCCACGGCACCGCCCCATTGCCGGCAGCAGCGGCGGCTAGCAGAGCCCACCCTCCGCCCATCTGCCTCAGGCAGCCTCGCGGTGGTTTACAGGGGCACCACGCCGGCATCATGGCTCCAGCCGCTTCTGGCTGCCGCTCACGCCGGCAGGGGCACGACGTACGCGCCTGGCGCATCCCTTGCCGCGGCGGCCCGAGAGGCACCGTCTCTGTCCCGCGGCACGGAGTTGGTCAGCCGGCCCGTGGGCGAGGCGGGGCCGCCCGGCGCCCAGGGCCCAAAGGCCGGCAGCGGGCGCAGCAGGCGGGCCAGGCCTCCCAGGCCGCTGGTGCTCAGCAGGCGGGGGAAGGACGCGCCCGCTGCCAGGGCAGGCTGCTTGGTGTTGAAGTAGTTGAGGCGGCGAAGCGTCGTTTCGTTGCAGGTGGGGTGGGCGGCGGCGCAGCCGGCGCCGTCCCCCAAGCCGATGGGGTGCTCCCGCGGCCCGTTCCAAAACAAGTTGCCCCTGCAGGGGTGAGCGGCCAAGGGCGGGGCGGCAGCGCTCGGCAGCCGCAACGCCGGCACCTGGCAGCCGAGCGCTGAGCGGTGCCAGCTGGCGCTATTGCCCCGCCGCTGCCGCCGGCTGGATTGCCGCGGCATGCTTGCATGCATGCATGCATGCATGAAGGAAGGCAGGCAGGCAGGCAGGCAGGCGGACAGGCACGTAGGCTCACCGTATGATGAGCCCACTGTCGGCATAGATGGTGGTCGGCAGCCGCCCCGCCAGGTTGCCTGCTGTAGGTCCAGCCACCGACAGGTGGGTCCACTGCAGGTCAGGCCGGGCGGGATGGCAGGCGGTGCGGTTTGGTGTGGTGGAGCGGGGAGGCAGCGGCGGCGAGCAGCGGCGGCGCCGGCCTGATGGGCAGCCGCAGGAGGAGGCCCGGCCCCTCTGGCCCGCTGCATCTTTGCCGCAAGTTCCTCTGCAGGCACGCAGATTGCAAACGCAGGATGCGGAGCCAGCGGTGCCAACCAGCTTGCAATCACCTCGGAGCCTTTCCTGCCGTGCATTCATTCATTCATTCAGCACACAGACCGGCCGCCTCTTGCTCGAGGGCGGCCCACTTTGGCCTGGGCAGCCCGGGCCGCCCTCCCCCCCGGGCGCATGTTCGGTGTTGGAGGGGTGTGCCCAGCGATAGGGGGGCCCTGAAGGCATGCGCCGAGGCCGGGAAGCGTGGTTCGGCGCTGCTGCACGCTTGGCGATTTGAACAGAACCACGTGCCGCCGAGCTGCGGCCGCAGTTTCCGGCCCACGGTCTACGGTCGCAGCCACGGGACTCGGCGGCACGGCGTTTGGGCCCAAGCTTGCTGCCGCCGCCGCCGTGCCCGGGGGGCAGCGCGGCGGCGGCGGGGGCACGCTGCGACGCCCCCGTGCTGCCGAGTTGCGGCCGTAGTTTCCTGCCAGAAGCCCACGGCCACAGCCACGGGACTCGGCGGCACGGCGTTTCGGTCCACGGCTTGCTGCCGCCGCCGTCGCAGGGGTGCTGCCTGCGGCGGCGGCGGCACGGCGTTTGGGTCCTCGGCTTGCTGCCGCTGCCGCCGCCGCAGGGGTGCTGCCTGCGGCGGCGGCGGCAGCGCACGTGGCAACCCCCCGCGTTTCCTTGCCTCCCATCCACCGGACCCCGTCCTGCGCTTCACTTTGTTTAGGGAGGGGCTGCTCACTGCTCATTGCTCATTGCTCATCGCACACTGCTCAACGCTCATTGCCCTATATCCCACCCAGCCGCAGGACTCTACTGCCGCCCGCGCCCCGCCCCATCTGGCCGCTTGCGCGCCCCATCCCCCCTCGATGGGGCCCGCCCACACCGGGGCCTCCCCCCTCCCGACCACTGCTTTCTCAACGGCCCCGAGCCGGGGCTGCCCTCATTGCATACATAGTGCGCCTTTCCCTGCTTTTCTAGTGACCTAGCGTTCCGCACTGCCGTTTGGCCAGCCCATGCTCCCGTACCGTTGCGTTTCTCCCCAATGCGCCATGCCACTTTGCCAGTCATACACACGTTTCGATGCGTGCCCTGTCAGCTGCTTGCGTTGCATGTCGCCTTGCTCCACCCCTGTTTTATTGCTTTCTCTGCTTTCGCCCGGTTCCCGTCCCGTTTCGGCGGGGAGTCTATGTTGCAAGCTAGTTCTTGCTTTACCAGACTTTAAGCCCACACAAGCAAGAGCGGTAGGGCGGCGGGTTGAACACCAGGTTGTTCAGCAGCAGCACGTGCTTGTTGGGGATGCTGATGTCGGGGCCGCCGGGGCTGGGCGGGCCCCAGCCGCCGGCGGCGTGGTGGGCGGCGCAGCGGGCCACGTTGTCGCCTGCACATGTGTGGGGTTGCGGGGCCAGGGTCAAGGGCGGGCAAGGGCGCCGCCAACAGCATCAAGCACGGCGGGATGTGCATTAGGTAGTGCCGGCGGCGGCGGCGGGCTGCTGCCCGGGCAGCAGCGGCCCCAAGCTGCCGTGCTGCTGCCGCTCACACCCCACCCATCCCACCCCCCTGCCTCACCTGTGCAGATCCGGGGCCCGTACGTCACTTCGATGGTGTGGCTGCGGCGCCCCACCCGCACCAGCGTGTTGTGTGCCAGCAGGCAGTCGTAGCAGCCCCACACGCCCAGCCCCGCACCCTCCACATCATGTATGTAGTTGTTGTACATCTGCGGTACAGGCACAAGGACAGTACCGCGTAGAGAAGGCGGTGTAGGAGGGATGGTGCGCATGCCATCGCTTAGCAGGTGAATACTACGAAACGGCACTGCGGCAGGCGCTCATGGGCCCAGGGCAGCAGAGGCGGCAGACGCGGCGTCGGCGTCGGCGGGCCTGCGAGCGGCACACATCCGCGCGGCCACCGGCACCGCCACCACCCGCACTGTTTCAGTCAGCATGACCAAGCCGAGCAAGGGGGGCACGCCTTGCCTTCACATCATACGAGTCGTATCGTATCCAGGGGGACACCAGGTAGTCAAAGCCGGTGCCCTGCCCTGCGCTGAGCCCCGACTGGTCGCAGTGGTGCACCTCGTTGCCTGCCACCAGCCAGTGGGCTGCGGGGTGGGGTGGGAATGGTGTGTACGTGTGTGTGTGTGTGACGGGCAATCGCAAGCAGCGGCGGCAGCAGTGGCGGGATGCAGTAGGGCAGCAGCAGGGTCGAGAGGCGGGCGGGCATGGCGGTGCTCCAGAGTTTCAGAGCAGGGCAGCTGCAGGCAGCACCTGAGCCGCCCTTGACAAAGGCGCACCAGCCGCCGTGGTGGAAGCGGGAGTTGAGGAGGTGTCCGTACTGCGGGGCAGGGCTCAGGCTCATTTTCGGGGCGACTGTGAGGGTGTGCGAGGGTGGGGGTGGAAGGGCATTGCCACAGCAATAGCGCAGCAACGAGCCAGTGCCAAAGATGACCACAGCACAGCACAGCGCAGCACAGCCCAGCTGACCTGGCACACCATGCAGTCAAAGGCGGCGTTCCAGCCCCACCCAATGTCTGCGACAGGGCGTGCTGCGCCGGGCGCGGCGCGTCGGTGTGTGGCAGGGCAGCCAAGCAGCCAGCAGCCAGAGCAGGCTGCGGGCGGGCCGATGGCCAGTGCCCGGCAGCAAGGCATGCCGCCAAGCAACCGGGAAGCAGGCATGGCCCGCCCCTCGCACACCAGCCAGCCAGACCAGCACCAGTAGCAGCGCCCACCGGAGTCCTCCACCCACACTCCCGTGCACTGGTTCAGCTTGGCCGCCTCCTGCACCGGGCATTCCGTGTAAGGGCCGGGGCACAGACCCCTGACAGTCACGCTGCAGGGCAGGGTGGGAGGCGGGAGGGTGGGCAGCCTGAAAGGGTCCGTGGTGTGATCAGGGCGCATGCCGCTGCGCAGCGGCAGCAAAGCGAGCTGCAGAGCACGGCGAGGAGCCGACTCAGGTGGCGTCGGCGGCAGTGGCAGGGCCGGCGCTGCTCCCAGCCTCACAACTCCCTAACCCTGCACCTCCGCTGGGAAGTCCCGTTTACCCGCGCAGCAGCAGATTAACGCAGCGCTCGCAATGCAGCGGGTGGTCCCCGCCCAGCTCAAAGCGCACTCCGATGAAGTACAGGTGCCTGCGGTACATAAGCAGTGCATCAGCCAGTACTGAAGCCTATGCGGGACAGGTAGCCACCCTGCTCCCGCCCGCCACCACAGCTGCTCATGCCGCCGGCGTGGCCGGCGCTTGCCTGACATCGTAAATGTTTGCCCCCTCCAAAATGGTGCTCCCCCGCCCGTCCTCTGCCTGGACGATGATGGGCGCCGCCCGGCTGCCCCAACGCCCCGCCCAGTCCTCGTACGCCGGCACTGCAGCAAAGCATGGGGGCCCAGTGCCGGGCAGAAGCGGCGGCGGGCATCATGGGAGGGCAGAATAAGAGGGATGAAGTTGGGCTATTGCCAAGCAGTACGAAGCTGCCGACATCATCCTTCTGTATCCCCGAAACACTGCCAGCACCCACTCATGTCTTGCTCCGTCATCCTTCCACGCTTGATGCGGATGCGGTAGCCGGCGGTCAGCGTGCGTCGGGCGGGGATGCGTCGCAAGGCGGCCCTCAGCGTGCGCAGCGCCTGGCCGCGGCTGGCGCCGGTGTTGGTGTCGCGGCCTGCCGCCGGGTCCACCCACACATCTTGCACCGTGATGTTGCCTATCTCGTAGGGCTGGCCGGTGGGCTTCTGCACCGCGACGACCGCGGCGGTGACAGTCGCGTCGCCCGCCGCCGTTGCCGCCCCCGTCCGCGCTGCAGCCGCGCCAGCCAGCGCCCGACCCTGCCGCCCGTACATCCATCCGTCGGCGTCTCGTGAGGCGGCCGCGCTGCTGGCAAGGCACGCCAAGAGCAGCCAGGCACAGCAGCCTCTGCCTGGTGTGCCAGCCGGAACACCCATACCGCTGGTGTCGTAACTTTCAAGCGGTTCGCGATAAGCAACAATCAAGCCTGAACACTCCTGCATTTGCACCTCGCACGGCATGTCGGAGCTGCGCGGCCGTCCACCGGAGGAACGTGGCCGTCCATGCAGCTTCGCACACCCACACCCTGCTACGAGAAGGCATGTAAGTGGGGCCTATCTGGATGCCTGTGGACGCCTGGTGAGTTTGGGGGCCTGGGACGGGCAGCGCCCTGATAGCCAGCCAGCAGGCACCTCCTCCGCCTCCGCCCGCGCCGCCAGCGCTTAAGCCGCCGCATTTGCATTTTTGGATGCGGTGACTGCCTGAAACCATCAGGACACAATATCGGAATGCATCGCAGCTGCTGCTGCCCTGGCTGGCCTTTCATCGGCAGGCTGCCCACAACAAGGCTAGGCCGCTACAGCCTCCGGCCGGCCCACCCCGCTGGCGGCTGTCGCTGGCATCTCGCCCATCCGCCCATCAGACGGCCTCGCGGCGATCACAGAACCTCTGATCACTTATGCTGCTTCGTTCATCGCTCCAGATTGGCAGCTTGGGTGGGGGGTTTGGCTTTGTCGGTGTTTCGTTTCGCGAGGCGGCAGCCTTGCTGTCTTCTGTCGCATTCCACAGCAGTAGCTGGAGGTGAGGGGCCGTAAAGCTACCCGCATTTCCCGCGGTGCGCGCACTTGCAGCCGGCCAGCGAGTGCCTGGCGGCTGGGCTGGCCGGCCCTCGCTCCCCGGCTCTCCTCCAGCACGGCAGCATCACACCAAGTCGCCACAGCCAGCCATCGAAGACCATCGGCTGCACCGCCCACTGCCGCCGCCCGCCCCTGCTCCTGCCCCTCCGTGCCGCCACCTGCTCCCCACCCTCCTCTTGCATGTGTCCCTCCCCCCTCACACGCTTCTCCGCAGCGCCATGAAGATCTACACCAAGACCGGGGACGGCGGTGCCAGCAGCCTGTACAGCGGCGAGCGGCGGCCCAAGGACGACGCCGTGTTTGCTGCGCTGGGCGACGTGGATGAGGTCAACTCAACGCTGGGGCTGGCACGCGAGCACGCGCGCCAGCTGGCGGGCGCGATGCGTCTGGCGCAGCAGGTACTGCGGGGGCGGTGCTGGGCGCCCAGGCCAGGGTGTGGAGCGGGTCGCATGCGCCTGCCGGCCCGGAGCTGCCGCCAGCCTCGCTCAGTCGCCACACCTGAAGCGCCTTGAACCTTTTCGACCTGCCAACCATGCAGCTGGAGGTCATCCAGTCCCGGCTGTTTGATGTGGGGTCTGCCGTGGCCACGCCCCGCCCAACTTCTAGTGACCATAAGCTGCAGGTGCGCCCCGCACGCTGAGGCTTGCTTGTTCTGGACTCACAAGAGGCACAGCCCTGCGTGCCGCCACCGCCTCGCCGGGCCTACCTGATCCGCCGCCTGCCCTGCCCTGCTCCTTGCAGCGGGTAGCGTTCAGCGAGGCGCATGCGGCGCAGCTGGAGAGGTGGATAGATGAGATGATGGAGGAGCTGCCGCCGCTCACGCAGTTCATACTGCCCTCTGGTGGGCGCGCCCGCATGCCATATCTGCTTCACCGGCCTGCCTGCATGCATGTCTGCATGTCTGTGGCAGCTGCTGGGACCCGCGCTGTGTGTGCTGGCCGGTTGTCTCTGCCTGCCGCAGGTCCCCCCGCTGCCCAACGCGTGCTCGAGCCGCTGCCCCGCCGCGTGCGTGCAGGCGGGCTGGCCGCCGCGGCGCTGCACATGTCGCGCAGCGTGTGCCGCCGCGCTGAACGCGCTGTGGTCCCGCTGGTACGGGACCAGGCCACCGAGGCAGCCGTGGCCATCTATCTCAACCGCCTCTCCGACTACCTGTTCACCGCGGCACGCTATGCAGCCCTCAAAGCAGGGGAGCCGGAGACTGTGTGGGTCAAGGCGGCGCCTGCGGGCGCCACCTGAGGGTGCGCCAGGAGAGGAGGGACAGGGGGGCGATCCTGGCAGCCTGCTAAAGCTTCACCTCCTGTGTACTGTCAGCAGCCAGTTTCTTGCTCAGATTTTGTTGTTTGCTGCTGTTGCCGCTCTGCCGGTCCATTACCGCGGCTGCGTGTGTGGCACCGCGACTCTGTGCATAGGGCATGCGCTCTGCTCTGCTCATGAGGTTGTAATTCAGGAGGACACCGTGTGGAGGTCAACAGCAGGAGCCGGCATCGATATGCACACAGGCGGCGGTCCTGCAACAGGCTGCCGCCACTGGTAGCATCTGGCGCCTGCGTCTGCCGCACACACCTCCTGCCCCACACTGTCAACACGCGCCTCGGGGAGTTGACAGCTTACACAGGCTAAGCTATGTCTGAGCTGGAAGCCAAGCAAACATGCACCCACCAAAAACTCACTCAGCGCACCCCGCGGCCAGGATGAGCCCGACAATGGGCGGCGGCAGGGACGTGCCCAGTTCCTTCTGGGCACGGTGCAGCGCCAGCGCCGCAGTGCGCAGCCGCTGCACATCTGGAGGCGGCAGGTGGCGCACCAGCTGGCACGCCTGCTCAGGCGAGTGCCCCAAAGCAGCCGGCAGCGCTCGGCACAGGCCAGGGCAGGGGGCTGGCACCAGCGCCCACTCCCGCCCGGACAGCGGCGGGCGGGCGATGACAAAGTCGGCATAAAGCGGCAGGGCCGGCGGGCCGGCAGCAGACAGTGATGAGAGGATAGACGGGGCTGGTCCTGCCGCCAGAAGGCAGCGAGCAGCAGCCAGGATTTCCAATTCATCATCACTGTCCAGGAATTCATCATCATTGTCGCCGTCAGTCAGATTTGATAAGGCCAGCTGCAGCGGAATCCTGCCTGATCCGTCAACAGCCAGCGCTGCTCCGTGTGCTGCGGCCAGCAGCACCTCACATGTTGCAGGGTGGCCTTCGGCTGCTGCCCAGTGGAGTGGAAGCCTGCCGTAATTGTCAGCTGCTGTGGTAGCAGCGCCTGGCACCGCGGCCAGCAGCAGCTCGCATGCCACAGTTTGCCCGTTGTAAGCTGCACGGTGCAGTGGAAGCCAGCCATAATTGTCGGCTGTTGTGGCCGTTGCTGGCGCTGCGGCCAGCAGCAGCTTGCATGCCCCTGTTTGCCCATAATAAGCTGCCCGGTGCAGTGGAAGCCAGCCATCACTGTCAATTGATGTTACTGCTGCTGGGGCTGCTGCCAGCAGCAGCTCGCATGCCGCAATGTGGCCTTCACTTGCAGCCAAGTGGAGTGGAAGGCAGCCATCACTGCCTGCTGCTGTGGCCGTGGCTGTGGCTGGCGCCGCTGCCATGAGCAGCTCGCATGCCGCTGCGTGGCCCCCGTAAGATGCAAAGTGCAGCGGACGCCAGCCACAGTTGTCAGCTGCTGTGGCTGTGGCTGGTGCTGCGGCCAAGAGCAGCTTGCATGCCGCAGTGCGCCCCTCCCCGGCTGCCAAGTGGAGTGGAAGCCAGCCATCATGATCTGCTGTTGTCGCCGTGCCAGGCGCTGCGGCCAGGAGCAGCCTGATGGCTGCCGTGTGTCCTTCATTGGCAGCCATATGCAGCGGAATGCGGCCCTTGCTGTCCAACGTTGTGCCCAACTCTGCATCTGTCGTCAGGAGCAGCTGGATAGCTGGTGTGAAGCCAAGGAAGGCCGCCGCATGGAGCAGCGTCAGCGAGTCTGCCCACCGGTGAGCTGCAGTCCAGGGAAATCACGGCCATACGTGTGCGCAGGGGGTTGTCAAGGGCAGCAGCACTGCTGCATTGCAACAACCAGGCGCCACAGGGCTCACTCTCAGGCGGGCTCCGTAGCAACGCTGTACAGGCCTGCAGCTGCTGCACCAGCTGGCAGAAGCTCGTGGAGCCCAGCTCGTGGTTTTCGACAGCGCACAATTGGAACCTGTAATGCAGACGTTAAACAATAGGACTTGCATGCTACCAAGGATGCTCCATGCGGCGGTGGCACACGAGACAAGAGGGTGAGCAGCCGCTGGCGACGCCCATCCCGATTTGCTCACCTGAGAGCAGCCCACGGCGGAGGCTGTCGCTGGCGGTGCAGCTGCAGCGATTCAAATGCCACTTGACCATCAAGGGCCTCCATCACTACAGTGCAGCCCGAAGAAGGGCCAGCTGCTTGGAGCCGAGCCAGCAGCCTCCTGTGCCTCGCTGCTTGCTAATCACACTGAGCGCAGGGCAAACACCCTCCCAACCCTGCCCAGCGCTCACTCACGTGCCAGCACATCACACACCAGGCGAGCGTCCTCGGCCGACAGCAGGTCTTCCACCTCGTGCTGCTCGCCATTGTGCGGAAACAGGACCTGAGGCAAAGTGGGACGCGGCGGGCGGGCGGCGACGGTGAGAGGCGGGCGGCGCTGCCCCACCAAGGCGGCCCGGGTAGCCCGGCGGCCATCACCCACCTTGAACGTGCCTCCCCTGACGGCTTCGATGGCGCCCTTGGGCCCCGCGCTGCCGCCCGCGGGCATGTTTGCCTGGGCGAACGCTAGCCAAACGGTGTAGAGCCTGCCCCTGGCAGTGGAAAGTGCGTGCTAGATGGCGCTGGTGCAGACGAAAGCAGTGGAGATCGGGGCAGGGCTGGCCCGCATCATGAGGCGCCGCCGCTGCGCGCGACGAGCCACCTGCTGGCGGCCTCATGTGCTCCCTGGACTTCCGGCCCGATGTTCCTGCCTCGGCGCGGCGTTCTTCTGCTCCGCTCCCTCTGCTGGGAGTCGTCTGGAGCGTGCAGCGTGCCCCTTCTCACCCTCCCTCCTACGGACCGATCGCCACCTCCCCCGCACAGCATGCCCGCGCCGTGCGCCTCCCAGGCCAGCCTGGCCGCTCAGGCGACCGCCGAGGGCAGCCTGCTGGCCGCCGCGCTGGCCAAGGTGCGTGCGCTGCCCGAGGCGGAGCGCCCCGCCGACGCCGACGCCTGGCTGCGGTGCGAGGAGCTACAGGATGACTTCAAGCGCCTGCTGGCCGGCTGGCGCGGCTGGCCCAAGGACGGGCGGTGCGAGGGCAGCGTCAGGGCGCTGTGCACGCTGTTTGCAGCCGTGGATGCGGCGCCGGCGGGGCTGGAGGTAGGTGGTTGGGAGGAAGGAGGAGCCCTGGCTGCCGTGCAGCGCGGCGCTCGCCTGCCGCCTGCACCCAGTTGTTCACCCCAAGCCCTCTGTCTCCTGCTGCCTGCAGGTCTTCCTACCCACCCAGGACCGCGACCGCTGGGACACGCGGCTGCTGGGCCCCGCTCTGCTGCCCTGCCCGGGCGGCGGGCGCAAGCGGCGGCACAACGCCCAGCTGCACAGGCAGATCTGGGGCGCCGACCACATTCGGGACGCCAGCAGCAACGTTTACGGCGCACGCCCTCAGCCCGACGACTTGCTCAAGTGGATTGGCTACGGTGGGTGGTGGCTGCGCTGCTGGCTTGAGCTGGTGGCAGCCGCCTGCCCGCAACTGCCTATGTGCTTGCCTCGCCCATCCCCTGCCTACCCATCTCCCCGCCCGCCTGCCTGCCTGCCTGACTGCCCGCCTGCCTGCCTGCCTGCAGCCTACTATTGGTCCTTTGGGGCCAAGGCGCCGCTGGGTGGTGGGTTTGAGTATGAGGTCACGGTGCAGAGCTACGTGCTCATGTCCCAGTGCGGCCTTGCCCTCAAACAACACCCAGCAGGCGGTGGCGGCGCGGCTGCAGGAGCTGGGCAGCCCGCTGACGAGCGGGGCAGGCCTGCGCCGCCTGGCTGGGCCGTACATTGCCTGCGCTGCAGCAGCCTGCTCTGCCTGCAATGCGCGTGCCTGGCAGGCCCCAAGGCAGCGCCAGCAATGCTGCGAGTCGCGGCCCTCCCTCGCCATCCTCGCCCGCCTCCCCTGCCCGGCCTGCAGCCCCCGCGCTGCTGCACTTCATCCACCACCAGAAGTGCGTGATGGCAGCCACCATGTTCCACCACCCGCAGGAGCGCCTGCACCAGCAGCTGCAGGTGCGTGCGTGCGGCTGCCGCCTGCTGGGCTTGCCGCCTGCTCGGCCGCAGCAGCTGCTGCTGTCCTCGCCTCTCGCCGCTAACCTCCTCGGATTGCCTCATAGCAAGGCAACATGCAGTGATAGCGACGCCCCACATTGCGCAAATTGGCTCGGGGCAGCGTGCCGCAGCGGCACCACCAGCTGCCGCCAAGCGCACGGCCGCCTGCACCTCGCATGCAGATGGTGGCTGGCACCAGTATCTTCCACTACATGCTGCTCCTGCGCCCCTCCTCCCCCCGCTCCTTCGCCATTGTGGCACACACCCTGCTGCGCCTGCACCTGCCTGAGCTGGCGCTGGTGGTGGCAGGCGAGGGCGTCCTGGCGGCGCAGCGGGGCGAGGAGCAGGGCGGGGCGGCGGCAGCAGAGCCCTACCACGCAGCCCAGCTGCAGCTGGCGGGGGCCAGGGCGCTGGCGCATGGCGGCGCGGGAGGCGGCGAGGTGGATGTGGGGAGGCTGAGGGAGGTGAGGCGGGGCAGGGCCCGGCCCCGGCGACTGCCTCCGGCCTGCCAGGCGCACGCCAGCAAAGGCAGACAGGCCAGCCTTGCCTGTTGATCGCCGTACCTGCAGCCGAGCCGCCGTCGTTTGGGTGGCTGGCCAGGCCGCCTGCTGAGCGCGGGCAATGAGAGCTGCCTGCCGACCTTGCCCTCCTTGCCTTCCTCCCTGGCTGCAGGCGCTGGAGGCAGCCGGGGCTAGCATGGCCCGCTGCCGACCCTGGCTGCCCACCGCTCTCAAGAACGAGCTGGCCAGGAGCCGGGCGGAGGTGGGCGTGGGCAGGCAGGCGCTGGAGGCAGCGGTGCAGGTGCGCGGTACCATGACCACCACGCCACGGCAGCAAGCCGCGCTCATGCTTTGCGTCCCACAGCTGGGTTGCAGCATGCTTGCTGAGCGGTCGGCGCACCAGAAACGGCCGTGTACTGCAGCAGCTGGGCAGTTGCTCCCTCTCTCTGCACTGGCCTGCGGCCCTGCCGCAAGAGCCAGCACGCCGCCGGTCGGGTGCAGGCCGGGCGTGCCACGCTGCCTGTGGTGGAGCTGGCTGAGCCGCTGGGGGTGCTGGTGGCGCGGGGCGAGGCGCACCTCCGTCCGACAGATGAGGTGCCTGCGGGCAGCGCCTGCTGTGGGGGCGCGCGCGCTGCCGCTGCCGCTGGGGGCAGCGCCGGGACACCGCAGGGCGATGCTGCTTGGCGGCAGAGCTCACAGGGCCGCTTTCTCTTGACTCGGGTGCCCGCTCGCCTCCCCGCTCGCCTCCCTGCTCACCCCATCGCCGGCGTGCTCCTTCCCGCTCCTGTCACTGCCGTGCAGCCTGGCCAGGGCGCGCGGGAGGCCTGCGGCTGCCCCACCTGCCGCGCCAGCCGCTCTAGCCGCTGCGCCGGCTGCGGCAACGTGGTGAGCGAGGTGAAGAAGTGCGGCGGGTGCAGGGCGGTGGCCTACTGCAGCTGCCAGTGCCAGGTGCGCTGGGCGCAGCCGTGGCTGCCGCCAGCCGGCCTGCACTCTGCAGTCCTGCTGACACAGCTTGCTGGCCTGCCTGAGCTCTGCCGGGCCCGGCATGTGCAGAGTGCGACCGCCTGCTCCCACAGCTGACAAGGCAGCCTACACGCCAGACAAGGGCGCACCTTCTGCTGCCCTGCCGCAGGCGAGGCACTGGCGGGAGGGCCACAGGGAGGAGTGTGCGGCGATGGCGGCCCGCTCCCGCTAGAAGAGCCCCCTGAGCCGGCTGGTGCACAGGCGCTGGCGCCGAACCAGCACCAGCCGCGCCCCTCGGCAGCAGGTCGAGGATGGAGGAAGAGCAGCGCCAGGCAGCAACGGCAGCTAGGATGGAAGGCAATGGCGGCCAGGGCGGCACCAGCCGCAGCTAGTTTCTTAGTGCCACTGCAGTGCAGTTTTTCTCCCTGCGGCGCCCAAAGGCCCCAAGGCCTTAACACGCCCATCGCTTTCTGCCGCCGCAGCAGCCGCTGCCAGCTGCCTGCACGCCGCCTTGTGCCTGCGCCAGGCACCGCGGCTGAATGCCTCAGAGCGCTACCAAGGCCGCCCCTCCTGCCCCACACTGTCCACATCATGTCAGATACTGACAGCTTTACACAAGCTATAAGTGAGTCAGAACATGAAAGAAAGGCACAAAAAAATGCTCACCCGGCACACCCCGCAGCCAGGATGAGCCCAACAATGGGCGGCGGCAGGGAAGTGCGCAGGTCCTTCTGGGCACGGTGCAGCGCCAGCGCCGCAGTGCGCAGCCGCTGCACATCTGGAGGCGGCAGGTGGCGCACCAGCTGGCATGCCTGCTCAGGCGAGTGCGCCAGCACAGTCGGCAGCGCTCGGCACAGGCCGGGGCAGGGGGCGGGCACCAGCGCCCACTCCTGCCCAGACAGCGGCGGGCAGGCGATGACAAAGTCGGCATAAAGCGGCAGGGCGGCGGGCCCGGCAGCGGCCAGTGATGAGAGTATGGGCGGGGCTGGGCCTGCTGCCAGGAGGCAGCGCGCAGTAGCCAGGCTTTGCAATCTGTTGTAAAGCAAGTTATCATCGTCACCAAAGCCAGTCAACTTTGCTATGCACAGCTGCAGCGGAGTCCTGCCTGATGCGTCAACAGCCAGCGCTGCTCCGTGTGCTGCGGCCAGCAGCACCTCGCATGCCGCTGCATGGTCATCAACAGCAGCCAAGTGGAGTGGAAGCCTGCCTGTGCTGTCGGCTGCTGTGGCCGTGGCCAGAGCCGCAGCAAGCAGCAGCTCGCATGCCGCTGTGTGTCCGTGGGCGGCTGCCTGGTGCAGTGACAGCCTGCCGTCATTGTCAGCTACTGTGGCCGTGGCTGGCACTGCGGCCAGCAGCAGCTCGCAAGCCGCTGTGTGGCCATTATTGGCTGCCAAATGGAGTGGAAGCCAGCCGTCATTGTCAGCTGCTGTCGCCATGGCTGGCGCTGCTGCCAGCAGCAGCGCGCATACCGCTGCATCCCCATCAATAGCTGCCAAGTGGAGTGCAAGCCTGCCGTCATTGTCAGCTGCTGTGGCCGTGGCTGTGGCTGGCGCCGATGCAAGCAGCAGCTCGCATGCCGCTGCGTGGCCCCCGTAAGATGCAAAGTGCAGCGGACGCCAGCCACAGTTGTCAGCTGCTGTGGCCGTGGTTGGGGCCGCTGCCAGCAGCAGCTCGCATGCCGCGGTGTGTCCCTCATAGACCGCCAAGTGGATTGGGAGAGTGCCATCATTGTCAGCTGCTGTGGCGGTGGCAGGCGCTGCGGTCAGCAGCATCCTGATGGATGCGGATTGTCCCGCCATGGCAGCCATATGTAGCGGCGTGCGGCCCTTGCTGTCCAATGCTGTGCCCAACTCTGCATCTGTCGTCAGGAGCAGCTGGATAGCTGGTGTGTGGCCAAGGAAGGCCGCCGCATGAAGCAGCGACAGGGAGCTTGCCCACTCGTATCCTGCATCTCAGGGATCATGGCCATCCGTGTGCGCAGGGGGTTGTCTAGGGCAGCAGCACTGCTGCATTGCAACAACCAGGCGCCACAGGGCTCACTCTCAGGCGGGTTCCGTAGCAACGCTGCACAGCCCTGCAGCTGCTGCACCAGCTGGCAGAAGCTTGTGCTGCCCAGCTCGTCGTGTTCAATAACACCCGAATGGAATCTGCAATGCAGACATTGAATCAAGTGGGAATCATATGATACCGAGGATGCTGAATTGACTGGTGGTGCAGGAGACAGACGAGGTCGTGCAGCCACTGTAGAGGCCCAACCCAACTTGCTCACCTGAGAGCAGCCCACGACGGAGGCTGCCGCTG